TTTTGCTCTAGTTCTTTTCATTGTTAACTCCTTGTCTGGAATAGTCTGGCTTTTGGGAATCAATTAATCAAAAAGAGTTCATCCATCATGCTTTCGGCCAAATCCTTTCTTGGCCGTCCTTTACGTGGGAGTATGGGACCCAAATTTGACATTCCTCATTTAATCATTGATAGGTGGTACAGCAGTGTTTCTGGTAAGTAATGTCTAAATTACAGTTTTTATACCCCATATAGCCTACCTACCTAATATCTAAATATATTAAAAAATTAAATAACATATCAAATTATTGAAATCACATAAAAAGAATAAAATTTAAATTTGAATCACTTAAATGAAGGAAGAATAGGATTATTATTAATTGATACAAATCTGAATCAAACTAATTCACATAAAAAGAATAGAATCTTAATCCAAATCAATTTATTGACAGAAGAAGAGGGTTGATTATTATTGATTGATAAAAATCCAAACAAACCTAACACATAAGAAAATTAGGAAGAAAGAAAAAAGAATCAGAATGATAGAATAATAACAAAAGGAAAATGCGCCATAGAATAATAACGAGAGGAAAATGCTTGAGCGGCGGCCGAAGCCCTCAAAGGCCGAACAGGCCGAATGGACGTGGAAACGTCACCTCCGTTGATTTTCTTTTTAAAGTTTTATGCTGAAATTTATGAAAAGTTCCCACAATTAGTAATTTATATTTATTTTAGTCCTTAAAATTTCTTTAATTACTTTTTAGTGTTTATGTATAAGAGTCCAATTCAAAATTTTGATGGTTGCACTTTACTTAACTATTAATGGATGAGGTTGAGGGCCTATCCCTCCATCAATGGTTAAAAGTAGTGCAATCTATCCATTCTTTTAATAATAAGGGACTTCGGATTTAGATTATTTTAATATTCAATATTTTGAGTTTAAGGTTTGTTGGTTAAAGGTGTTGGGTTTAGATTTTTAAAATATTAAAATTTAAATTTTAGGACTTTTAGGATGTTAGGATTTATATTACTAAAGTTTAGAGCTTAATAGTATAAGTTTAAGTTTAATATTCTAGAAAAATAAATCACATGAATTATAAATAGAAATTAAAAGTTATTAATCTTAAAATAAAAAGCTACAAGAATCATCGACTTATAGATTGATTGGTCTCCATAGCATTCCTCATAACAAAATTGAATGTTAACATAAAAAAAAATATTGCATAATTAAAAACTCACTCAGATGTTGATCCCCACAATACCATGACCACCACTGATGACTTCTTTGCTTGGGGTTATGGCATGCCAAATTCGACAGATGTTGAAGACAATTCTAGAAAAAGATTTGTGATTTATCTAAGTAACGATAGTTTAGGCATTGAATTCTATTCAATGGAATAATTTAATTATCTAAAGGAAAGTAACTTGAGATGTAAATAAGTAGGTGTGGAGAAAATGGTTTATAAAGATATTTAGGGTTAAAGTTTATTTTAAATCTTATTATGTTTATTTTTCAATTTAAATAATAACCTATTCCTAAATTATTAAATTCTAAATTTTACACTTTTTTATGTGTAAATTTTACATTTTTAAATCCTAACCTTATATATTAAACCTTAAACTCCAAAAATATAAAACCCTAAACTTTGTAGAGAATTGAGTTTTTGGTCAAGTGTTATGACTATAACATGTGTCTATGTAGCAAATAAAATACTACATTTAGTCTTTAAACTTTGTCTCGATCCACTACATGTGATCCATTAAATCAATTAAAAAGAAAAATCAATTTCTTCAAACTTTTAAGAAAAGATGAGATAACAGTGATGATTTATCATTGTCAAGATCTCAGTATAAGAAGAGTAGATAAAGAAATGGGAGGAGAAGCAAGAGGGTAAGGGGGAGGATTAGAAGATTTTTGTCCTACTAAGCAATTTTGCATGTGTGTGGAAGAAAGATCCCACTAAATATGTATACATTATTAAAAGTTTAAAGAATTTTCGTACTTTAGCACCATCTTGTTGATGTGGATTGTTATGCAGAACTATGAAAGGAATAACCCTAAATATATATCAAATTATTGCAAAAGTAGCATAGCTAACATGTAAGAAGAAATTGTTAGTGAGACGTTACTAATGTTGTTGTGATATAGGGACACTGCTGTTATAGAAACTTGGAGTAGAAGGGGTACAATAATATGGCTTGGAAGACTATAGGGAGGTCTCTGAATGATATGTGAGTCTAGGGAGAAAAA